AACTTCCTCCCAACAAACTGTTTAACCGACCATCCTCTCTCCCTCTTTTGTCCCTCTGACCTGCCTCGAAACTCCTGCTCCGTCGGCTCTAGAGGGTGGATGGGGAATCCCCGTGGTACTTGTCATTGTCGAGGGTGGCCACAACATTTTTGCAGAGGCGCAGAGCAGCGTCACACAACACGTACCTCTGCTGGCCTGCACCGGCACTGGCAGAGCGGCCGACATCCTCAGCTTCGCGTTTTCATGTCGCCTGCGCCAGTTTGCGCTGTACGTTCTGCAACTCTTTTTTTTTAATTCTCCATCCTTGTCCATAACTCCTTTTTTTGTAAGTGACTATGTTTTTGAGGCCATTGGCAGATCACAAATATCACATGTTTTACCCCATTTCATCTAAGGTGATGAAGAACTGGTAGTTGAACTTTACCACAATGACTTGAGAAGATCTGACGTTTACATTCAATTTCACAGAGCTCTCCTTTCCTAAAAGGTGAATACAACTTATAGTTTCTAAAATCTAACAATTTACAGAAAAAACTAATGTGGCAGATTGCCATGGTAAGTATGAGTCTGCTTCATCGACGATTACAACACAGAATGTGATATGGCAAAAGGCCTGACCTTTATTCAAATTTACACCTGCCCTGTGACTAAAGGGCTCCCATGGCAATCTGACGTCATGGTTAACGTGTCAAAATCATACACTGAACTTTCATGGTTCAAGTCCCGTAAGGGGCGTTTGAAGCTGCAGTCCACTTTGGTGTGGATGAGGACATCTTTTGGGAAAGCAAGGCTGTGTGAAATCTAGTGGAAACATCAGCTCTACTCATAAGATTGTGGGAAGAATCAACTCGCATTCGTTCATCTCCTTACACGAAATAAGGTGAATACAACCATATATAACTATATAAGTGTATGTTAATCTATTTATCCGTCTGTATCTTTGTATATCTGTTTGTCTGTGTGCCTACGCATGTATGGGTGCCTGTCTGTATATCAGTTTCCGTCATTTTTTTCGTTTATAATTTGATCATATAAACGAGGTTTATTCAGCCTCCTCCACTTGAGGTGATAAGGGGGCGATTTGTAGCTCCTTTTTTTGCAATTTGTACATAATCTTATTTTCCCAAAAGGTATTCTCATCCATGTTGAAATGGTATGCAGATTCGATATGACCTGCGAGTTGTATCGCTGGATATTTTTGTTATTTTGCCTTTTTGTCTTTTCGCTTTTGTCTTTTTGTCTTTTTATCTTTTTGTATTTTTGTATTTTTGTCTTTTTGTCTTTTTGTATTTTTGTCTTTTTTCTACCTTCTTCTAGAGAGCCCGGCGTGTCTGCAAAGGGCGCGAGGTTCGAGTTCGCCTCTGCCGACCGGCAGAAACTGTTGGCATGGTTGTCGAACGCCGACGTCTCCGGCGATCGAGCCTCGAGCGCGTTCGAGGCGATTGTGGAGATCGTGCAGGACGCCAATCTGATCAACTCATTTGACCTGACAGCCGCGCTCGATCTGGACACCGCGATCCTGTACGCGCTGATCAAGACGTCGGCGGAGGTCGAGCAGCAGTTGGAGATTGCGCTCTCCTGGAACCGATCGGACATCGCGAGGACGCGCATCTTCGCCAAAAAGGTCGTATTGCAGTCAGGTAGGACGAAACGAATCTGTACCGCATTTTTGGACGGTTCGTTCTGGCCTTAGCACTTACGATTCCTGTTCTCGGCGGGCGGTTTCTGCAGGGCCCGGCACTCGACAAGAAGACGAAATTTAGAAATTGCTGTCATAGTCTGTCTCGCCCATCATTCCATCTTTTCCGTTTTACCATCTTTTATTCGTTCTCTACTTTCCTATTTCCCTATTTCCCTCTTTACCTCTTACCTCGTTTCAATCAGTCCATCTGGTCATTATTTCATCTTTCTTTTTTTAATTTTTCTTTTTCCCTCTTTACTTCTTTCTTTATCAATTAACTTTATTCCCTCTCTTTTTTTTCCTCCCATTTCCCTCCTTCTATATTTTCCTCTTTCTTTCTTTACCCCTTTTCCTGTTTCAATCAGTCCCTCTGTCCATTATTTCATCTCTCTTTTCATTCAATTTTACTTTTTTCCTCTTTACTTTTTTCTTTCTCAATTAACTTTATATCTTATCTCCATTTTATCTTTCCTCTTATTTCCCTTCCTCCATATTTTCCTCTTTCTTTCCTTCTCTCGCCGTTTAAATCAGTCCCTCTTTCCATTATTTCATCTTTCTTTATTTTACTTTTCCTTTTTCCTTCTTTA